ATGTACAAGTAGCATTTTTGTTAAACTTTTCTACGTTCTCTCATTTTTTTCTTTCTTTCTTTTATCTATTTATTTTATATTTTTTTGCACTTGAATCTCACCGTTCCATCCAAATGAAAGTGGCATCACACGTAAGGCAGGCCCAGGCCTCGATCTCTACAATACTTATTTTTAATGCTTTTCATATTTATAAGTTCATCTTATAATAAATATATATAAAAAAATTACAGTGATATCTATGTTTGATCATTATTATCCCAATGTCCTAGTTGTTCAGTTCATACCTTTATAGACGATGCGAACATATGACCACTCCACTTCCAAAGTATATTTGTTAAATTTATGTCATATGTCAAATTTAACTAAACGAGATCATCTCAACTGGCAAGAAATTGAAAATCCACAGATATACATACAAAAAATTAAGAAATTGAATCCGTTGAAGCAAAAAGACAAAGTAAATCTCAAAAAATAAGTGATTATTTTGATTGTACATATTTTACTCGTCAGCAATTTTTTTTTTCTTTTCTTAGTTTGGTTTAGCTTTATTCCTGTCGTCAATGGTGAAACCGACAACAGCAGATCTGCCAGGCTGCCATGGAGCATCGGTTCAGTGCCATTGTTGCTCAACATTGCGAGAACAGAAACTTTATTGTACTTTGAAAAATATAATATTGAAGTATTGTCGATGAAGCATGTCTGTCTCAACCTTATCTGAATAACAAAAACTTTATTGTCACATTTATACGTCCATTTCACCTTAATGCACAGAACAGTTGTGATTGTACAGAACCAAACAGATGTGCCCAAAATCAAGCTAAAATCCATTAACATATTCAAGTTTGTGCAAGTCAAAAATGCATTAGAACGCAATACATGGGATACCCAAATCGCTAAATTAGAAAACAAAATCTGCAGAGTCCAAGACGCTCCCTACAACATCGTTCCAACTCATTCAAGAAAGCAAGCTTTCCCAGAGAATTGAGTGTTTCTCAAGCTAGCTAGCCACAGTTGAAATAGAAATTGATTATATCACCAA